ATCTTTCCTTACTATATATATATATATATATATATATATCCAAAACCATCATATCTTAAGATGGTGAGATCTAGGTGTTATGCTGCTCAAAAAAAAATTTGTTTTGTTTTTCAATTGCAATTTGCAGAGGGGATCAACAATAAACAGTGCGCCCACTTCCAAACGCTATTGGAAGATGCCATTCTTTCGTGAAAAACCTCTAGAAAATGGCTTGAAAGAGCTATTTTCAGTAATTTAATGAAGCTCTAAGATGGCAGACTAATTTATAAAAAATTTGAAAATAGATAGTCCAGATAATGTGTTTCAAATTGCAATAATTTTAAATCTTAAATTTTATTTATTCTTATATATTCACACATCTTATTGTGGAAATAGTCAATCAAAGGATTTTCAATGTCAAAACAGCTTTTTTCGATGGGGTTTTCAAATACGTCTCATTTTTACCGTATAAAGTTGATGCCCCATGTAAACTTTTATCTAAATCCTCATAGTACTCAACTGGGGATTCTAATGTCGATCCCAAAAAGATTTCATATCAAGAAAACCAGCTATCATTTGTCAGAGTTATTAAATTAATTGTTTGCTCCTGCTGGCTCACAACATATGAGGCCCTTGACTATGTCCTAAGTGCTATAAATTAGTTTTTGTCAAGATATTGTCCAGTCCGGTTTTTACGAGGGACGTTAAATTACAAATCAACCTACCCAAGATGCAAATAAGCAAGAAATATAAACAAAGCATGCATAGAGATAATGCCTTCAATTTCTTAATTTCATGGTTACGTCTTCCTTGTGCCACGGAAACCCATCTTCCCACCTAATCAATAACCAAATATCAAATAATATTTGCTTTGGGGAAGAGTCTACAATAAGACTTTTGAGTGTTGTCAAATTTGCTGTGCTTTCAACCATCAAGGATTTTAGACCCCGACCGAAGCGAAGTGAAGCCTCTTATTATTCTTTCAGTTAGATTCGAGTGACTTCGATTAGATTCAGGTATTATTTGGACCGATTCAGCTGAACCCGAAGCCTCTTCGGCCTAAATAAAAATATATCTATATATTTTTTATTTTTTATTTTTTCATTATTTTTATATATAAATATCTAAAATTTATTTACATTAAATTTGTTTAAAAAAAAAAAATCTAAAATCTTCCCCCGAATCGGTCAAAGCACTGAATTGCTTCATTTTTTTCACCAGACCAAAAAAAACTCCGAAGCGAATCTGGAACCTTGGTTCAGATAGACAGCACTGTACCCCGAGATTAGGGGTGGGTGATCGTGGCGAAAAGTATATTGTCTTGTAATATAGAATCCCATTATTATTAGGGTGTGGTTTCTATAAGGTTGCAACCTTAAACAATCCAATTAAGGCGCACCTTAAAATTTTATCATAACATGTAATTTTATTGTAAATAATTCTTATTATTATCTTAAAATCTATTTTCATACTTAATTAGAAAATTTTAAATTCCAAAAATGATTAAAATCAAGTAGATCTATAAATATATGAAAATCTTGAAAATTGACGGTCTAGATAATGTGTTACAAGATGCACTATTTTTTGGATTGAAAAACATTTTTTTTTTTCATATTCATACATCTCGATGTCTAGATGATCGATTAGAGGGTTTTTTCAACATTAAAACAATATTTCCAATAGATTTTTGAGGTGCATCTGTGATTCTACATTTTAAGGTTGCAACCTTATATAAACTTTTCGCTTATTATTAAACCCAAAAATTGGTCGAGGTTGTTTTGCTTGTGAGACCCTTTCATTTTCCAACTTGTAAAGAAGAGACTTTCTGTACAAAAAATCTATTTCTTCATCCACTTCTCGTATTTTTTTTTTATTTACATTTAACAAAGGAAAAATTTATATGAAGTTGAAATCTTAAAATGGAGAATTAAGGTGCACCTCTAAAATATTTCGAAAGAGGTTGTCTTGATGTTGAAAAAACATCTAATTAATCATCTCGACATCAAGATGTATAGATATAAAGGAAAAAAATATTCAATCCTAAAAAGGCACATCCTGCACCACATTATCTGGATTGTCTATTTTCAAGTTTTTATGTATTTATAGATCTACTTGATTTGAACCATTTTTAGAGTTTAAAATTTTATAATTACATACAAAAATAGATTATTGCACAATCTTAAGAACTTTCAACATCCAAATTACATCTCAGGATAAAGTTTGGGGGCACACCTTAATTTGATTGTTTAAGATTGCAACTTTACGCAAACCACACCGGAGAAAAGTCAATATAAGATTGCAACCTTAAAATGTAGAACTACAGATGCACCTCAAAAATCTATCGGAAAAGGTTGTTTTTGAAAAACCCTCTAATTGATCATCTCGACTTTGAGATGTATGACTATAAAAAAAGAATGGATTTTGAGTCTCAAAAATGATATATCTTACAACACATTATCTAGACCGTCCATATTCAAGATTTTCATATGTTTATAGCTCTACTTGATTTTAATCATTTTGGAGTTTAGAATTTTATAATTAGATATGAATATAGATTTTGAGATAATCTTAAAAACATTTTACATCAAAATTTGAAGGTGTACTTTAAATGGATTCTTTTCTTTAAGGTTGGTTTCCAGATCACATTTCCAAAATTTGAGATAAAAAAAATATACTTAATGCAAGTTTTTCCTGAGGAAGTGGATGGATAGTATACTTCCGTGTGGAAAATCACTTGGCTCAAGTGAATGTAACAATTGCTGGATAGGGGTTAAGGAGATAAAGCACGCATACTTTGAACATTATATTTTATGAAAATGGCTCCAATTACTGTGAAAATATCAGTCATAACAGCCTGGACTTTCCACTCAATGGTAGACACATGAGCTTGGGCTAGAGGGATTGAGGGTTTACATCCTTGAAATTTGTCCCAAAAACCAAAGAAGCTAAATTTTTTTTTTTTTTTGTTTTTTTTTTTTCATTTAACATGACTATTGTAAAGGTGATTGTGATCTTTTAGCCACCCGATTTCATACCTTGCTGCTAAGAATAATTGTGACTTTGTGCTAAAGTTAATTGTCTTTTTGTATATTTTTCCAAAGAAAAAAATTCATAGGGTACAAAATATAATTACCCTTGCTCCATATAATTATTATTTTTCCAATTAACAAGAATTGCTGTTAACAAAAGTAATTAACACATGCACAAGGGCATCCCTTGGGTCATTTCCTAAACTTTGGGTGATGTAGGCTTAATAAAAGAATGTCTGTTAGGATATGAATTACTATTTTGCCCTTTCCTTTTGATCCTTTTCAAAACCCTCGTTCATGGAATGGGGTAGTTGACAAGAGATTGGGGTTTTTAGGTTTTACTGCTATTATATTTTCTTTATTTCTTTTATAAGAAAGAAATAGAAAAGTAGAAATGTTCCAATTTCCCGCAGGCAAAGGCGAAACAAGAACAATCTCAATTCAGTTAACATTGGCTATTGGAAAATTATAGGGCCGGCAACTGACGGGCCGGGCCTGGGCTGGGGCTGGGCCAGCCCAGCCCCTATTTCACTTAGGGCCGACCCAGGCACAGCTTGGCTCTATCGAGGCCAGGTCGGGTAAACTTGAAGAAAAATAAAGTAAAAAATGATGAAAGAATAAG